TTTTTAAGACAGGGTTTCATCATGTTGGTCACGCTGGTCTTGAACTCCCGACCTCAGGTGATCCACCTGCCTTGGCCTCCAAAGTGCTTGGATTACAGGCGTGAACTACCACGCCCGGCCTTTTTTGTATCTTTAGTAGAGGCAGGGTTTCACCATGTTGGCCAGGCTGTCCTTGAACTCCTGACCTCATTATCTGCCCTCCTTGGCCTCCCAAAGTGTGAGGAATACAGACATGAGCCACTGCGCCTGGCCTGTAATGAAGAAATTATTAATCACTTACTGTATGCCTGCCACTGTGATGAGCATTGTGTGATGGAAGACAGAAAACAAATACATAAGCTTATTCTGCCCATGGCATCATTATCTTCATTAATAATTTCCTTTTCACAGCCACCTGAGAGATCAGGTTCAAAATGATAAATGGTAACACAGCCAGTAAGTGGTGCAGCCAGGGTTTAAATTCAAATCTCCAGTTCCAAAGCCCATGTGCTTTCTTCCTGATCAAGAGGAAGATCTTTTTGGTGACTTTGTAGGAGGGTGAAATTTTTATGAGAAGATAAGACTGACATACAAGAAACAACTGAGAAAGAATTCAAGAGAATAGATCCATGTGTCCTCAGTCATATCAGCCACAAGTTCTTCCAGAGCTCAGAGCTATTGCCAAGGGAGGCTGAGCATGGAAGTAACTGGGAAAGGCTTCCTGTGAGTGCAAGGGTGAGGGTGGTGGCCGGAGTGGGCAAGAGGGGGAAGGCCAGCCTGAAAGGATTGAGCTGACCCCATAGACAGGTAATTGACAGGTATTTGAGCAGGTGCATGGAACTACTATAAGTGACAGTTTTGGAGATGACCTTAGGTTCAGTGTACTTTATCTTAGGACGGAGAGGTGAGATGGAGGGAAGTTGCATTGGGGGAAGTTGCAGTGATCTTAAATCTGAAGGATTTCAGGCCAGGTGCAGTGGCTCATGCCTGTAATCCCAGCAGTTTGGGAGGCCGAGGTGGATGGGTCATTGGAGGTCAGGAGTTTGAGACCAGCCTGGCCAACATGATGAAACCCCATCTCTACTAAAAATATAAAAATTAGCTGGGCGTGGTGACGCCTGCTTGTAATCCCAGCTGTTCTGGAGGCTGAGGCACAAGAATCGCTTGAACCCAGGTGGCAGAGATTACAGTGAGCTGAGATGGCACCACTGCACTCCAGCCTTGGATGACAGAGTGAAACTCCATCTCAGAATAAATAAATAAATAAAAATCGGGAGGACTTTGAATGCTAGTTCGAGATTAGCCAGAACTCTTGAGTTCCTTAGCACAAAGTCCAGCGAGATGGTTTTAGGTGGTGGCCACGAGGAATAGAGGGTGATAAGAGAACACATCTTGTCTCTTCTGGCTTCTGCAGACAGAGCAGCTTTGCCTATACCTAGTCCTGTATTGTAGGCTGGTATAAGATTCATTCAAAAAATGGATGGCTGGGCACAGTGGCTCACGCCTATAATCCCGAGGTGGGTGGATCACCTGATGTCAGGGGTTCAAGACCAGCCTGGCCATCGTTGTGAAACCCCATCTTAAAAAAAAAAAAAATGGCGACCATCCTGGTCAACATGGTGAAACCCCGTCTCTACTAAAAATACAAAAAATTAGCTGGGCATGGTGGCACGTGCCTGTAATCCCATTTACTCAGGATGCTGAGGCAGGAGAATTGCCTGAACCCAGGAGGCGGAGGTTGCGGTGAGCCGAGATCGCGCCATTGCACTCCAGCCTGGGTAACATGAGTGAAACTCCGTCTCAA